CAATATATATTGAATGATAATATCTAATACTATCCTTTTTTTACATGTTGATGAATAACAATTGATAAGGATATCGATTATAAAGGAATGGTAACATTTAAATCTTATTGAATGCAGGTACATCCAGCTGACGAATCCCAAATAGGACGAAGTTGAATGCATCCTAGATTCCACTGTTAGATATCATTATTCTATCCTTATATTCCTACTGGAAAACGCTTCTTAAAAATAAGATATATATATAACAATAGCAGAAGTCTACTGATGGAAATTCTTTATGATATATTATAGTCTAGTCACTTGTTTAATATCTTAATCAAATTACTTGTTTATGGTTATTACTGGATAATGTAATAATAATAGTGCTTTGAAAAGTGTAGAAGGTAATGAGAAATAAATCACCTAAAACACAGAAATGAGAAAAATATATATTAATCCGTAATTCAAGGAAGGCTACAAGTATCCAATCAATGTCTGAAAAATATATGAGTGAGGAAAAAAACAATAAACACAAAGTTATTTCCTAAGTTCATGACGTAACTAATCCAGAAAAACTAAGATGAAAAATCAATTAACGAGTAACGAAATGATCAAATTACAATAGTGATGATAAATGAACAGCTACTTTCTTCCAAATGAGTCATTTCATAGTAAAAGCATCAGCAACACTCAATTAAACTCTAATATTTTGCTGATAAACTGCTTTTTGCAAAACTACAAATAACCTGAAATATAAAAATTATAAACAAAGATGGATGGTGGCCAGCAGTGGAATCCAGGACGCATGCTTCGTCTTATTTGGGACACGTCAGCTGGATGTACATGAATTCAGAGTTGATGTTCATTCTGAGACTCAAATTCAGTACCGTTCGCTTCAAACGCCATCTCGTTATCCACTAAGTTACAGAGTCCTGATAGCCAATTGATTGTGAAACGGGGTAAAGTTTAAATTCACTTTGTACTGTTTACTTGAATCTTCCCACTGATGTTTTGGACTGCAGTTGATCAGTCTCTTATTAACATATGTGCTCACTGTGCGTATTGCCTCGATATTGCTTTGATATTTCATACTGGTATCACAAATTGTATGAATATATTGTTGCTTACATTTAAACAGTTTCCATTAATATTATGAGTACTGTTCAAAAGAAGGTAAGCGTTAATAATGATAATAATCATTTTTAAATTCTAATCACTATACAATGAATAGTTTCTTGGCTATCATTTAGAGAATACTAACAAGTTTGAATCATTTAATTGGATACTGTGTCGTAAAAAAAGGCAACTAATATATTACAATAGTTGAGATCACAAGTCAATTGAAGCTAGACCACCATGGAAAACCTGGAAGCAGTGGACAGCCGTTTCGTCCTACTGTTGGACTCCTCATCAGTGCACATCCACGATCCCGCCTTATGAGATTTGGCCGTTAAGTGCTTACAGGTTTTCCACTGTGGTCTAGCTTCAATTGACTCATGATCTCAACTATTGAAATAACTATAATATCTACAAAATCACCTTCTGATATTAAACAACTAATATACGTCATATAAATTCAGGGAACCAAATTTCTATTGCTTTTTCAGTATAACAAATTGAGAAATAGATGAAAAGACTTAGTTTCCAATAAACCATTGGCAATATTAATTCATACATTCATGAATTTTTTTTTTATTTTTTAACATAGAAACAAAATATTTGTATTCAGTTATTTGCTCAAAGGTTATTAACTTATTTTTTTTAATAAATTCAAGTCAGATGATAAAATTTTAGATAAGCAACAGCACTTGAATTATTTAATTATGTTTATACAAATTTTTGTTGTTTTCCTTGTTGTTGTTGTTTTTGTGCATCAGTTGAGTTCATAGTCCATGAATAATAATAATGATTGTAAGCATATTACCACTACCACTACTACTACTTCTAGTTACATCAAATAAGGTACATTTTAATATTTCATTTAAATACTGAATTTATAAGCTTGTAAATCTCATCGTAAAACCTAAATCATTCGAGTAAATTTGATAAATATGTGGAAAACATTACATCAATAATATTAATAATAATAATAAGGAACATTATGAGGTAAGCTACTTCTTATCTGTGTATTATTTACTGTCATTCGTCCGCTTACTGACTAGTTATTGATTATCTTTAGTTTTTAAGTTATGTTTAATTAAATTCCTTATTTGATGGATTACTTTAATTAATTTAAAGATGAGAACCGTAGCTGGTTAATAAGTTATAGATTGAGTGTTTTTTATTCATTGGAGCTCTATACCATAATGGCAACATACATTGTATGAGTATATTGTTGCTTACATTTAAATGAAAATGATGTCTATTATTCAATGAAATATGTGAACATGCTCTGCCCCTCAATCTCTTTTTTCCTCTCCCTCTCTCTATATATATATACACTCTTTTTAAGCAAAATGGATAGTGGCTAGCAGTGGAATCCAAGACGCGCGTTTCGTCTTATTTGGGACTCATTAGGTAGATGTACCTGCATCTCAGATTTGATGTTCACTCCGGGACTCGAACCTAGTACCGTCCCAAATAGGACGAAACGCACATCCTAGATTCCACTGCTAACCACTATATATCTTTGCTTAAAAAGCTCGTGACTTAAAGCTATATCGAGGCAATTTGCACAGGATGCACATATGCCAACATGGGACTGATCAATTACAGTCCTAATTAACACTGGGAATATACAAGTAAAACAAGACCAAATGAATTTATACATATATTCCGTTTTAATAACATTAATTGAATTCAATCAAGCGAATTATGTCGAATTTCTTTATGTGAATTTCAGACATGAATAGTTGCCATATAAAAAATTTATTAAAATAAAATCTTATGAATTTATGAAACACTCAATTATTATTCACTAGATACAAATTAGATTATAATAATAAAGAAAGAAAAGATAACTTTACAAGTTGCTCAATTGTGTTTTTGAAAAGGAAACATTGATTTGAGCATCGTCACAATTACCAAAATATTGATTTTTCAAAAAATAAAATAAAAAATGTTCTAGTTCTTTTCAATTGTTTCTCTGTTGTGATAAGTATAATTTTTTCTATCGATTGGGTAAAAGTTAATTTTGATTCATTTTCATTATTAAACTGTTTAAGTCTAATCTATTGTTTGTTCATATAAAGAGGATAGCTTATAACTTAATTATGAGTATTGTACAAACATGAGTATTCAAGTTAAATAATTTCGCGGCCTGCTTGAAGATCTAGGCTAATTGTTCCTTCCATTGGAATGTTTCAACAAGTTATCTATTTTCGTTTGCTTTAATACAATAATACGCACCTATTCAGGTACGTTTCTGAAAATTGTACAACCTTTAGTTATACAAGTTGCAAAAGAGCCCAATCAGAAATATCATGGTTGCTGGCAATATGCCTCGGAAAGAATGTACATTATTTAGATGTCGATTCCTGAAGTGCTAACTCCTAACTGGCGATCACTCATCATCAGTATCAACCAAGAAATACGAAACGGAAACTTGTTAAAATACTTTCTGCTGAGGATTCTATGTTTTACCAAAAATATACGATTGAATAAAGCTAATAATAAGAATTAATAATTAAAATAGTTGTGATCATTAGTCAATTGAAGCTAGACCACTAAAAGCACTGGACGGCCGTTTCATTCTATTGTGTGACTCCTCAGCAGTGCGTATCCACAACGAAACGGCCTTCAGTGCTTTCAGGTTTTCCATTGTGGTCTAGCTTCAACCAACTCATGATCTCAACCATTAAGCTTACTGTAATATCCACAAAATCTCAAATTAATAATTAATTAAATTATATCCGTTCACGTGTCAACCAAATGACATATAGATCATGCAATCAAATGAGTTCTAACTATAAATTAAAGTTATTTATTAAAGTTACTTATTTCTATCCCACTTGTATATTTATTCCATTGTAAAATATAAACCAATTTTCTTTTCGACCAATTCACTTGAAAATTTGGTAATTTAAGATTAGATACGCTAAGTTAAGTAAAAATGTAATATAATCAATTAATGAATATTGATTTCCCATTAGGAAAAATCCTCTCTGATTTTTTTCAGTTTGCAACATAGCCGAAATCAAATGGAAACTCATAAAATGTCAATTAATTTATTTTATATCAAAATGATCAGTTTGTTTTCTCTATAAATATTCCTCGAAAGATATTTCTATCAGTAGGATGAGATTTGAGACCAATAAGTCCTGGGCTCGAATCCCGCGGGGCGCCCTGCTGCGGACTTTTATAATAAGACAAAACGGTCGTCCAGTGCTTTCAGGCTTTCTATAGTGGTCTAGCTTCAAATGATTCATGATCTTAACTTTTAAATTATTTTTAACTTTTCTTATCAGTATTTTGACAATTAAAAGATAATTAATTAACCTATTGATATAATCCAATTATAAAATATATGAACTAAATGAATATAATTTTCTTTGACTAATTGAACTAACTGTCATAACTTATGAAGTAAATACAGTAAGACGATGATAGGTATCAATTTCAGACAAACTGTCTAAACGTATTAAATGAATTACTGATTAATTATTTTCTGTATAAAAATTGAACAATCGAATCACTAGCCAAATGAATTGATTCTTGATTAGATGATTTATATTTTAGCCATCAGTACTGGTTAGATGAATATGTATAATTTAATACTTTTAATACATGACTGATGGTTCTAAGGAGAAAATGTACGTCATTAGCAATTGATGAAGCTTAATTTATGCTTCTATAACGTACAGTTATTGAGAATGATTAAAACCATATGGCTTGCTAAAGCATACTGTGGAAAAATTGCTTCTAGATAAAACGAATAAAGTTGTCAATGTAGAACTCATTTGTATTTCTATTAAAGTTTTAGTTTTATTTCCGTTTTACTAACTAAACCTTATTTACACATGTTTCATGAAGCATCAATATGTTTGGTAAACCTTTCTTTCTATACATTTTTTTAAATATAGATTCATTCAATCGATTCATAACCAATTATTCATTGATTTTGGTCATTCTCTTTGAATGGCACTAACAAGTGTTGTAACTCCTTATAAAGTCGGAATGTCAGGTGATATCATACCAAATAATTTCGATATGATACCTTATTCCACTTTTCATACAGCTTTATTACCACATCCAAATCCATTAGGACCTGGAAATCTATCAAATATTTCAACAGGTTTAATGCTTACAGCACAACAACCAACTGGACAAAATCCTTATTGTCCACCAATAACTCTTACTAATGGATATTATACAAATGTTAGTTATCCACATAATGCAGAATCGTTTTGTTATGTACAACCAAATGATGCTAATTCAATATTAAATGCATATCATACATATCCTACATCAATAAATTTACCATTACATGCAACAAATATAACATGTGATAAGTTATATACATCTAATAATCATATAAATAGTAACAATCATAATAATAACAATCATAATCATATTACTGCACAGAATCCATTACTTTCAACAATAAATACAAATCATATTACTATAAATAATAATTATAATGATAAAAATGAATTAAGCAAGAGATTAGAAATGATAGCGGTTGAAAAATCTAATACATTATTAGATGAATCATCACAAGGACTAATTGATAAATCAACTATATTATCATCATTGTCATCTACATCTACATCAACAACTACAACAATTATTACACATGGTGAAAATGGAAATGTTCAACAGAATACATCATTATTGGTACTACGATTATTGATGTCTGGAAAAGTAGGTTATTATTTATTCAATTATGTTTATGTTTATTGTCAATAGTAATGAAAAAGAGGATAATCTAAATGAGAGAATATTGATATTTAAAATAGTTTACTGGACACGATGGAGTTTTAAATGAAGTGTATAGAGTTTGAGTTCCGGAGTAAACATTAACTCTAGAATATAGGTTTGTCTGACTGACGAGTCCAAAATAGGACGAAACGTGAGTCCTGGATTCCACTACTAGCCACTATCCATCTTTGCTTATAATGCTTGTGGCTTAGGGAAATATCAAGGCAAACCGAACAGGAAGTACGTGTGCCAATAAGAGACTAATCAATTGCAGTCCTAAATATCGATGGGAAGTTTCAAACAAACAATCCAAAATGAATTCACGTATAAAATAGTTATAAATTGTAAGGAAACTCTGATATTGTCTTTAATTAGAAAGTCGATCATTTTTGCTTTCAATATTTTAATTATTTTGCTACCTGAAATTTTGATTGACAAGATGAAGTGGTGGTTTAAAAATGATCATAACTAAAGTGAAATGAATTTTCCTTGTGTAGAGCAATAATTACTAAATGATTAATGTATTATATTTTGAACAACAATTAGTTATTTTGTAGATAAAGTCACAAACTGATCTTAGTTAAATATCTATTGAAAACCTTTAGATCTAAACTTAATAATCTCTACGAACCCGCTTTAGCGAATAATAATTTTGAGAGGTGATTCACGAAGTTCTAATGTGAACTTTTGAGTTGTGAAGTTCAACGACGCCACGTGAGGCACTTACTCATCAGTTACTTTGGGGATGGTTGTGTTAGATCCCAGAGTTATTGCAGTTAAACGTGTAGACCATTAGATGATGGCTTGGTTATTTAAAACATGAAGGTACTGGTTTCGACTCATAATTAGGTCGTTGCTACATATCCGATGAAAGGATCGTTACTCGAACTCAATAGCTATCTAGGGCTTCATAGTTTTCAATGCATGTTTGACTAAGATCAATCCACAATATGATCTTGAAAAAACAACGTAATCTAAAAAGTCCTTACCAAACAGTTGTTTCGCTCAAGTTGTAATTAGTTAACATACCATGTTTACTGATCCCATTATCTGATTAGGTTGTGATCATCATGGTGATGAGACTAATTCCAAACTTCCACTGCCTTCATGTGTGGACTTCTAATCAATTATTTTCCAGACACCCATTAAATTTCTTAAGTGCTTAACGTGGTGATCATATTTTAGATTCAGAGATTTTTAAAATGCCATCATCACTAATAATAATTATTATCTCCCTGTAAAATATTAAAAGAAAATCTTTAGTTGCTCCACATGATCAATATTATCACTGCCTACATCTACACAAAACGGTCGGTAAACAGAAAAGGGGAAAATAGTAAGAATGACGATATCAATTAGACATAGTAAAATATCTGAAATCAAATTGTTGATCTGGTACAAATGAAAATTCACTTAAACTTGACAGTTAATAATAATAATAATGTACCATTTAGACTAATTTAAGACCATAACATAAATGTTCACAAACGGTTGATGATAGTTACTTTACCGACAACAACACTAATCCTACCAATGTATATGAATATCTTGAACTGGTCCGTATTGTTTAAACGAATGCTCTTCTATGTTATATGTTATAGTATACTTTGTAAACTCAATGGTCAGTATATTTTATTTCATGAATTCTCATTCAACTATTCAAGCAAACTAATGGTCGGTTGTTCTTTTTATAAAGTACATAAATATTCAAACCCATTTCAATGATTAGTTTCTGTTATAATAATAATAAACAATTAAAACAATTCAGTCATTCAATGATCATAACTACTTAGGAAACTGTATTCAAATAAAAGAAAGACTATGACAATTCATATTTGGATTTACTAGTCAATTATATCATTTCTATATTGCGTGATATAAGAACAAAAATTATGATAGCTTGAATAGAATTAAATACCTATTCTGTTTTTTAAATCTTGACTAGTTCATAAATGAAACGGGTATTGAAAATATCCATCATTGACAATAACTATGAAGTTTATAATCATAAATAAAACTGAATAATACCGTTTGTCATAGATTAGCTAAAATAATTTAAAGAAAGGTTTGTGACATTACTAATTAGTATTATTTAAGCTTGACAATAAGAAAGTATTGCAATAAATAGAATGTCTTAGATATATTCATTAAAAACGAAGAATCGGTATAGGGGTTATGGAGATTATTAAGTTTTAGATTGAGATCATGAACCGATTGATGTTAGACCATCATTGGAAATCTGGAAGCACTAACATTAATCGGTTCATGATTTTAATCTAAAACTTAATAATCTCTACAACTCCCATACTGATACTTACCATGTGCCCACTAGTGACTAGCCTCATGAGGGAATTCTTGGAGTTCCAGTGAGAAGCCGTGACCAGTAGAGCTAATTCATTTCGGGTAGAGACAGGTATCTACCTCGGTACAATGGAAGATGTTAGAGGCTGACACCATTGAATGCCAGCTCAGTGGTCCAGTGGGTTAAGCGTTTGCACGCGTGAATAAAGGCCGTGGGTTCGAATCCTTCGAGCAGGATCGTTGATGAGCACTGCTGAGGAGTACCACAACAGGACGAAACGACCTTTCAGTGCTTCCAAGTTTTCAACGGTGGTCTAACATCGATCGTTTCATGATCTCAATCTAAAAATGAAGAATATTTGAATGAACAATTATTTTTGATAACTTCATCATCATAAGTCTCTATAGTGACAAGTCCATAATTATTGTGATACGTTAAAAATGGTGAACATTTGAATCTATCATGGTATAAGTACTTCGAAATTGTGTTATTTGTAAATAAGTAAAGTCAGTAAATATAGGATAGAATGATTCGGAATAAAGTGTCAAGTCAATCGTTCGATCAAATAATCTGCTACTGAGATACACTAATTAGTTGAAAAAAGACAAGTAAATCAAATAATCCCATGGGATAATATGATGGATATCATATTTGCCCATGTATGTATGTTTGTCTAGATGTGTAATGTCGTTAAAAAATCTTTAATATATCGATTCACATATTTGTCTTCCGTTCAATGTAACGAAGAAACTAGTTTGACTATTCTGAATCGGTTAAAACATTTTATAGTACCAACTAATTGACTGAGAACATGTTTGAATGGTTATTATTTCTATTCAGAACATTTTAAGAAAATCTAATGGACGACCTTTAAAATGACTTGAGAGACATTTTATACATATGACTCCATAAAATGTCAAATGAACCATATCATAAGCTGTCAAGCTTCTTTTTTTATTGTTTTCTCACAAAAAACTGTAAACGATTGCAAATGATGTGTACAACAGCTCTAATTTCAACGTTCAGTGCACAGATGTAAACTTGTCTTTGAATAAGAATGATATTGAATGACTTTATTTTTCAGTTAGAAACATTAGAAAAATGATTCAACTGTTGTTTTCGTAATGGCAGATAGTATAAAATATTAGTCATCGTTTTCTTCGAAGGTTACATTTTTCACCAATTATTAATGGTCAAAATAGCTTGAAAACACTAAAAGTTTGTTTCTACGAAAAATACAAAATTCTTTGCCTATCACTGTACAATTGAATCACTAAATTTTTAGTATGAATGTATAACTTCCATGGTTGTTTACAAAAAGGCAAAACTAATCGATCACATGATGTTTGGGTCATATTGCCTTGTTAAAAATAGTCTATTTTACTCTCTTTAAGGAAGACACATATTATATTTAACATATCGGATTACTGAATAACTCTACTATGAATATTGTATGTACATATTATTAATTAAGAAATTGAAGTTTATTGGCCGTCATTACGTTCCTCGAAAAAAACCTTTGTATATTCAACTTGAAAATGTTATCGAAAGAATAAATCGAGTAATATTACATTCTCCTATTTGCAGATCATGTTACAATTTCCTCATATAGGCAAAAAATTTGTAGATTATGAATGGTTACAAAGGTCATTGATAATGATCGTATTGTTTCTTAGTTTCGGACATTTGTCAAATATCATTAGTAAGAATTTAGTGAGAAAATTGTTTTTGAAATTAGGTCCATGCCAAAGATTACAGTTACAAGTACTGATTCATTTCAAATATTATGATAGAAAATGTAAAAGTGAATCAAATTTCGTTAAGGTTATTTAAAATGAGTAATCACACTGTGGATACTTTGTGATAAGTTATTTTACAATAAGAATTTCGATTTTAAAGTTTTAAATTCCAATTCTCTTTTGTACTATTTAATCACAGATTAGTAAACAATACCATGTTTGCCTAGTCTTTATTCTGTCAAATAAGTTGGATTGTAGCTGTTTATCAAAGTAACCCAACTTAATGTTCTGACGCTGAATGGTTGGATGCGAGTCAACTAGTATTATAGAATATTAACTACTGAGTAACTAGCGGGATATTTTTCATTCTACTTAGTTAATTTAAAGCAGCTGATGGATGAAAGGTAGAATATTTTGAAAAAGTTAATTTTACCCTTACAACCATAAAAAATCGAGGATTAATGTCTATGATGACAAAAAAACCTGATGTTTATGTATATTTACTAATCAAAACTTCAACAATGTATTGAAAATGAGTTACTTACATGAAACGTCGGAAATCCAGTTCATTAGTTATTGAGATATTACAAGTGTATTATTATTCAATGATTATAAACTGACTACTAAATATCCAGTTTATTTGAAGTTTACAAGTCAAACCATGATAAGAACGCTTACTGGGTAGATTGGTTTATAATTCTTTGTCAGGTATCGAAGGCACATGTATTGCCAATCATAGGGAATTCGTTCTTTCTTTACTTGTTAAAACTTTCCAATACACACGAATAAAATATGTAAAAACTCGTAAATGATTGCCCAATTTAAATAGCTATTATTTCGCCAACGTCAACTATGAGTCTAGTTGTGAAAACTAATTTGTTATTATCAGAAGGCATTGGTTTAAAACTTTTGGTCGAAGTTAGACATTAACACCGTTGGATGCCGGCTCAGTGGTCTAGTGGTTAAGAGCTGGCGCACTGATGAGGAGTCCCAACTAGGAAGAAACGGCCGTCCAGTACTTCCAGGTTTTCCATAGTGGTCTAGCTTCAATTGACTCATGATTTCAACCAGTGTAATTTGTTATTATTGTTGTGTTTTTTTAAATAATAACGGTTCAAAAACAAGTAATCTAAGTCAAGTTTCCAATTCAAGTACAAAGCTAATTACTCTTCTTCTGCTTTTACTTAAACGCAATTAGTTTTTTATTAACATTTGTAGAATGAAAAATATTTGATATATAGTGACAGTTTTAATTATGTAATAGTATATAAAGGGAAGGTATGATTATATGTTATGTCATGTAACATTGAATATATAACCTGGTATGTAACATTCTTTACAATCAGCAAAATAAGAATCTTAATGTGAACCTATGAATAGTTTGTTGATATTTTGTTGATATTTTGAAAAGATAACTAAATAACTGAATCATTGGAGGGGTTGATGATGAAAATAGTAATTAAACATTAAAACATAAGTTTTCTTGATCACTTGAATTGATTAATTCAATATCTTCATTCATAGTTTACTGAATTAGACGAGTTAAATGAACTGAAAATAGTGGCTCAGAGATTAACTTTAACACATATGTTTAATGTAGATCTATATTCAATTGAAAATATCCCAAAATCTCCACACTTCAATGAATATGTCAATTTATTTAAAGTCATAAATGAGAGAAATACACATAACAAGGATTATTGCATATCCTAGCCAGTAATTTAACCGAATGAAAAATACAAAACCTTTAATGATAAACAATCGGAAATAAATTCGTTAAAACATACATTTAACAATTGCTGTATTGTTTTTAAAAAGTCCAGTTTTAATTAAAGTAGTCGTTGCTATGGTTTTACAGAAATACATCCCAAAATCAAATAATTTAAATCAAAGAAAATAATAATGTTAAAATATTTCGCTTGAGCAATAAATTACTCTTATCATTTCTAACTTAAATCAATTCAATAAATAATAATTGTCCCAGGATATCCTTTAAATGATTACGTAACCAAAAATAATAACTTTCTCCCACCATAAGACCAATTTATCCCACATAAGATTGGTAATAAACTTAGTTCAGTTCTGTTTGAAGTTTGAAACGTAGTTTCATCAACCATTCGATTGTAATCGACTTTATTCTTTTCAATATAAAATGATAATAAAGTCCTATTCAAATCAATAAATAATGATTATGAATTAGCTGAATGATAAACGACTTACCTAAAAGTAGATAAGCTTTAACTGTTATATCAAAGAATAAATGAACTACTTATAAAACATCTATTTAAAATATTAGTAATATCATATTGTATCAACTTCAATAAATACTCAAAATATGAAGAGACCTTTTATATACTTGGTCGTTATATGAAGCATAATATAATTCCCTATTGATCAAAATATGTTTAAATTAGAGGTTAGCTATAACAATTATTATCTAATATCAGAATGGGTTTTGTGGAGATTTTTTAGAAATGTCACTGGTTAAAATCATGAGTCAATTAGAGCTAGACCACCATGGAAAACCTGGAAGGAGTCCCATACTAGGACGAAACGGCCGTCCAGTACTTCCAGGTTTTCTATGGTGGTCTAGCTTCAATTGACTCATGATTTCAACCAGCGGAATTATTATCTAAGTAAATATTATTTAATGTAATTTTCATTGATATCAGCAAACACAGTCACAATAGTGTAAGATACTTTATTCTTAAGTGTATGAAATCCTCAACACTTATACAGATAAATGACATGTTATCTAATGAAAGCAATCACCTATAATTTGAATTATTTAAACAATATCTAATCTAAATAAAATAAGGTTTAATTTTAGTGAAAAGTACTCTTTTAGTTGAATTCATTTTGTAACTTATGCAATCGCAAATGTACATATTGGCGAGATTAGAATTTATGGACGAATCAATCAGGTGTAAGATGACAAGCGAAATTCACTCATTCATTTGGGTAAGTAGAGCTGATGTCAGTTCGTGATGAAATCCCTAAATCTAATTCCTAACCTAAACTATGAACTGTAAATCACAGTTATAATTCTTTAAACTTGTTTATAACCCTCGTATAGGTCCTAGTTTTTAGATGGACACTGACAAGGTCACACTAGTGCCACTCAAAGGTCGTCCATAAATTACAGTCCCACCTACATATTAATTTTTGGAAACGGTAATTTCATTAATAGTGATGGTAAAATTCTGTGAAACGTCATTACAGTGAAGTAGACTAAACAAAGACTTTAAAACGTTAGTTTTATCAGGGAAACTATTAGTGAGTTTGTTATTGAGAGCTTGAATATTCACCATGACGATAGATAAATAAATTATGATTGAGAAGGAAAGGCTAAGCATGATAAAATATTGAAATTGAAATGAACTGTAATCAGGAGGATCATAGAAACAAAAAAGACAGTTGGGGGTAAAAAGACTATGGTGAAATAAAAGACAAACAGATGGCTGTGAAGGAAGAAAACTATAAAGAAATAAAATTGAGAGTAGGGTCACAGTATCAGTTTCTTTTGGGCAATTAATTTTGGTTTTTCCAGATGTATAGCTGGTGCTTCGGTAATGCTAAGAAGATGGAATATAATTGATTTTGGCAGTTTTCTACTTAACTTTAAGACGACTTTGAATGCCGAATCCGCTTTGATTGAACAAATGTGTTTACAAGGTGTTCAGCCATTGAACTTCTTATTGACCAATTTCCACGCCTTTTTACCGATAGATAATCGTTCCAGATAAGTATTTTCTTAAAGAGGTACAGTTCGTTATTTACGACTTCGAGACTGAAAATTCTTTGTATCCATGTAGCGAGGGACAAAATTCAGTTTTCCTTCCTGGTATTGGAAACTCAGTGAAAACTTGATAGCTGACCCTTCCGCAAGTGTTTTCTGTAGATTGATTTTCGTAGAGTTCTGTTATGTTTTCTCGTCATTTCAGCATCAACAAAATTAATACTTTGTCTGTCTTCAACTTCAATTATGAAATTTATTTATTAATATAAATAATGTTTAGTCAGAATCAAATCAACATAATTCCTACATACACAACACCCAGAAGAAATGCATTGAATATAAGTTACTTATAACTAGCCTAATCAAAACTTATTGCCTTAATGGTTAAATGTAATCAAGCTTATTCTGTCTCAAAGAAGTTATGACTTTTTCTTAAGCAAATTTTTGTTACTCATTTGAAATTCTATGTTAATGTACAAATATTTCCATGGCAATTAGAGTTAATGATAATAATACCAAAGCGTTTCTTCATGTAAAAACTAAACTTGATATAGTAACCTACATTATTGATCATTCATATAACAATAAGGTTTATAACATTCTTACTAAAATGATTTTTCATAAATATAAATAGATATGAATTAAATATGACAGATTCATCTACTATAAACCCTGGAGATAAATGTCACTGGTTATCAGAACAATATACATAGTCACTAACCTGTCATATATTTCCAAGTACTTTCCTGAATAAATTATTCCCAATCTAAAGTATAATAATTAACAACCACTTAAAATATTCTTACAAAATACATTGGTCTAATTTAATATAGTGAATACTAAAAAAGAAATATTGAATAATAAACTGAGTTTGTTTATTCATGCTGAAAAGTCCATCTCCAATAATGTTTAGAGGTTGAAATTCTACAGTTTAAATTATTAACATAAGTCAATGTAAAAGTTTGGAAATTTGTAAACTAAATGATTTATGGTGTGTTGTTCATTTGTTCTATTTTTTTAATTCTAGGAAGTTGGCAGTATCATCGGCAAAGTAAGTTCTACTTATTTTGTGTTTTCTAACTAAAATAACTATTTTATAAATAAATCCACTATTTAATTCTACATTGATATGCTTTACTCATTATCATTATTATTAGTGGCTTTATTCAATATTATATTTTTGGTACAACATAAAATTCTCAACACAACGTAGTACGCCAAGATTCCTCTTCTTATTTATTGATCGATCCTGACGATAAATATTGACTGAGTGAGCTAACAGTTTAAGAATCAACATCTGATTATTGTATATTGTTTTCGACGTATATTGCCAGCAACCACCATGTCCCTAATTGGGCTCTTTTGTAACTTGTACAGCGAAATATCGTAAATTTTTCACAAACGCATCTCAATAAGCTTCGTGACTAATAGGCATAATGATGTGGTAAAACAAATAAGAAAAGCAGATAACTTGTTGAAATATCTAGATGACAGGAACAGATAATCCAGCTATTCAAGAAGGCCACCTTGAGAAATAGGATGATTTAAAGTGAAGTGTTTTAAAATATTACACTTGATTTCAATCTGTATTTGTACACGTTTGAATACACTAATTTATCCTGTTAAATATGTATTAATTATCAAATTGTCAAATTTTGCATACATTTTTTATATCCACATTCTGACACATAAATGAATACAAGGATGACAGATCATACAAATTCACTATGATAAAAATTAACTTGAATTTAACATATTCAGACTTATTGTGGTTCCGATTACATCAAGAATATTCTACATTGTTTCCTTTGTACTTTTCAAACTTGTATTAATTTAATGTCAGTTATTTATTTACTTTGAAGAAGTGATTAACATTAAGTTACGAAACGTTAGAAATTTAGTTTTTCTACTCGTTGGTATAAAAACAAAAAAATACATGTATAATTATCCTTATTTGAAACTATCTAGTTCAACTTTACTGAAATTTATACTAATGATATTCAATCATTGATATGTATGATTAAAGTCATTTTGTAAAAGAAGATATTGAAAAAGAAAGAAAAAAACAACAACAACAACAATATCGATGTGAAATATCATCATCTTCGATACATTATGTTGTTGTTTTTGTTTTATTCAAACAAAATAATGAACATCTAATTTCTTTTAAATGTTTCTCTTCTATATGACCTGATATTAGATTGTTATAAATTCGTTTCTTTTTTGTCTAACATTCTGTTATTGTTTAAATCACCTACTGTGAAAAAAGAGAATGTTTCGTAGTTAAAAATTAAAAATAAAATAAGGTTGCTGATAATTCAAATTGATCACAGATTTTGATTGGCAATATTCTATTACAGATTGATTGTATGGAAAAATCCAGGATGGTAGATGTTTTAAGATTAGCCTACCAAAAAAAAGAGAAAAAACAATAAGGAAGAATTCACCTCCCCTTAGTTGATTAATAAGACTGAACTATAAAACATATGTATATATATTTGTGTCACCAAGACTTGACATTTTTAAAGTCACTCAAAAGAAAAACTTCATTTTTTTAAAAAATTAGTTTGAATGTAAAATTTTGTAAAATTGCATAGTTTCTGAGGATTCGGTTTATTATTTCATGGGAGTTTAGAATTGACACGAATTCCATATTTATTAGCTATACCATTTTTGATAGTTTCAATCTTTGAGGTTAAATTATGAAAGTGCAATACAATCAATCTACCAAACCAGGAATCGATGAGACTATAATTTATGGACGATCATTTAGCATTGCTAAGATGATGTTGAAAATGTCTATCTAATAACCAGGACTAAAGGTTATAAAGCAATGTGAGGAATTATAATTATGGTTCACAGTTGATGGTTAGGGTTACGAACTAGATTTAGAGTTTTCATCACGAACTGACATCAGTTATAATGCCGAAATACTATTTAGCAAAATCAGTGGATGAATTTCACGCTAAAATGCAAGACCTGTTATCTTAAGTCTGATTCCTTATTAGAGTCTCGCCCAGAAATTTTTTGTATTATCTCAAGATTCATATAAATATGATATCCTTCTTACTGTTCGAAAGAACAGAAGGATTTCGCCGAAAGTTAAGCTTTTACAAGGGAACAATTATTCCATCAGCGTCTCCATTACTATGTTCTGTCAACAAATATCTGATACAGACTACCGATAAACTATTTAATCAAGTAAAGCGTAGCTGAGCAAGGTAGAAGCTAAATGATCACTGATAAATATTATAGGTTTTACAGTTAGAAGAATAAAATGCCGGTAAGATCAATCTTGTCAGCTAAAGGTTGTCGTCACAATCATATCACTTCATCCAAAATCTAACTTTGGAGCTTTCCAACTGTACTACAATATTTCTTTATATTTTCGAAACTTGATAGTGAAAACGTAATACTTAATTGTTTTTTCTGTTAGCCACACATTTTGGTAAAATATAACATATGTAACAAACATTTATCTTAAGTAATTTGTCATTTTTTCTGTAATGAGATATTAGAAGTCGAGCATAGGTTTTAATTAGATATGGATATTATGATCATGTTTATTCCACATGAGTTCATCATATTAATAACAAAATTATTGTTTAGTATCCAAAACTTTTTTATCAAAATGTATGAAAGTAATTTAACAAAATAGCCGATTTTAAATTTCACCGATAATTTCAATAGTTGGGATCATGAGTTACTTGAAGCTAGACCAACATGGAAAACCTAGAAGTACTGGATGGCCGTTTCATCCTATTGTGGAACTCCTCATCAGTGCGTATCCACGATCCTTTCGCGGGATCGGAACTCAGGACCTATCGTTCTCGGGCTCCAGCACTTAGCCACTAGACCACTGAGCCGGCGTCCAATAGTGTTAATATCTAACTCCAACTAATCCACGAAATTGAGTGACACATCCATCATTGTCATCAGTGAGTTACTATCTCACAACTGACATGGTTGAATTCCACTGGTCACTGCTTGTCATTAGAACTCCAGGATATACAGCTTGAAGCCAGTTACTAGTGAGCATATGTTCATTAGTATCAGAAGGGGTTTTAGGTGGAGATAAGCTTTGTATACTAATCATCTGTATTAAGTCTTATTAAATTATCAGTTTCTCCATAAGTTCATACTATTTGATTTCTCTAAGTGAGGTATTTATTTATCATTGGTTTTACAATTGCCGACGCAAAAATAAATCATATAACGGTGAATCTCTGAACATGATCAAATATGTTCATCTTAAGAAAAACAAATCAACGTTGAGACTAAGTTAGTTAACATTAGTATGTTCTATTAATAATTTATTATGTACAAATAAGGCATCATTAATATATCATTAGATCAGGATTCATTAAATAATAACCATAATCTTTGGTTAGTCTGTATAAATAAAGTTTTGAACATATACTCACTTCAATATCAAACGAAGCGTGAAGAATAATATACGTATAGGTTTCATATCATTTAATAGATTTATCTATCTAATTATAGATTCTCCTTGAAAGGACAATAATTAGGTATATTTTCTAGACACGTTTTAGTATTTTCCTTTCATTGTGATTAGCTTAATCATTTTACCCTGTATATTATCCTCAAGAAAGATTTATAGGATAAGTTTTATACATAGCTTCTATGTATCATTTTCATAAAAGATTTCTATGTTAGTCTTAAATATTATTCGTTGAGCATTATGTATTGCTAACTAACAAGTTAGTCCTATTCTTGTTACTCAGTAACCGGCTTTTACACGAAATCTAAATTCCAATAAAACAAAGGAAACTATTGGTTTGCACAATGAACTATCTTAAACTTTACTGATTCCCTTCTTTTAAGTGAACTAACAGTATAGTTTACCTATTTATTTATTATTGTGAATTGTTTACATGGCTATATGTAAGTGTAAAAACCAGTTGATTGTATTAATGAATAATAATAATTTATCTTCGTTTTATATCAACTTTCCATGTTAGGGATTTATAGACTATCTCACCAGCTGTATGAGATGATTATTGAAATATTCGAACAATAACAAAATTCAGTGTATATTGGCTCTGTGGTCTAGAGGTTAAGCGTTCTGAGTTCGAGTCCCGCATGTGAGATTTTAGATGCACACTGTTGAATAGTCTCATACGAATAGTCTCATACTAGGACGAAACGGCAGTCAAGTGCTTCCAGGCGATCTAGATTAAATCGACTCGTGAATTCAACTTTGAAAACACTACAATCTCTACAAATTCCCATACTAATAAAATTCATTATATTTTGGACATCTAGATCTGTAATTTCGTGATAAGTAGGAATAGAAAGGCGAATTTAAGTTTTTGTGAACACAGGTTGACAATTTATGATATTAGCTTTAGCCCTGATGTGATATTTCGACATTACTTTTATTCTTAGCATAACATTTTAGTCTTTACAATACTGGTTTCATGAAATTTAGTGTAATAATAATTCAGGTCAATATGTTTGTAATAATTAGTTGTAAATTTTGTTCAGTATGACAGATGTGAACTTTCGTTCAGTGTAAACTTATATACTTTATCTTATACTGTGCGAACATAGTATGTTTATCTTCTCATTTGTATAATGTTTCATAATTAATCATTGTGTGTGCAAAATAAGTCAATAAGTGAGTGTGTATGATTTAATGATGATAGTACTGGACGACTTGTTTGAGATACATGTTTTTTTGGAGAGCCAATAAATCTTTATTTGTGACAGCCTCTGTGTTTTCATTTCATGTCAATGGAATTACAGTGGTTCCGGTTTTCATGTATAACTGGTAGAACCGTGAATAAAACAGACCTACCACGTACATAAACTAGACAACTTCCCGAACATAAACTTTCGCGGTAATAAACTTCATTTATTAAACATACTCGGTTGGGTTTCACTGAGACAATTTTTCATGTACACAAATCACTAAGAAAACCAACCAACCAACTAATTAGCGGAAATTAAATTTTTCATTATTCTATCTTCGATTACTCTTCTACAGTCACGTCGTATATATATACAAACTGATCAAAAAGGTTTTAG